TCTTACTCAGGACATTTCAGTGATGGTCATGTTTTACATAGATGGAAATCCAACCTCTGGCCCTACTCTCGTGGTCCTGGGGACCTAGCTGTTCCCTACTTTTCCAAACATGGCTTTTATTGCTTCTAGTTACTTCTGGCTTGTGCACTCTGTTGGCCTTCCTAGCTACATCCACTATTGTGATCTATCTTCCCACTGGTCCTAATGGGCCTGGGTGAAAAGCCAAGACCATTCAAGTTTCCTTTAATCACAGCATTCAAATTACTTACCCTCATTTAACCTCCTGAAGCACCACTTTTAGAAACTCAAACCTCTTGAGGGCAGACTCTACACCTTCTGCTCTAGTATACTTGTCTTTGTGACCCTCTTTGACTCCAACCCATAGCCTGTACTCAAGAAGAAACCACCACATCTAACAGAAGCACTTGCACAGGTGATACCTCTGACAGCTACACTCCTCCAGGGCAGGATAGCCCTGCCATCTCCATAGCAGGACCTGGAACCTGTTATTCCTCTCTGGTTCTAATCTATTCATATCAGGATGTCACACTTTTTGGTGGAATAGATTCTGACTAGAGAGCAAAACCCCTGACCAGGTGAATGCTCTGTGGCTTCCATCATGACCTCTGTTCCACGGGTGTTACAGGGTGAAATTCTTACAGTTCTGCTTTGTCAGAGGGTTGCCATCTCTATCTTACAGATAAGGAGACTGAGGTGTGGAAAAGTACCAGTACTGAAATCTAAAGCTGTGTGCCCTCAGCATCTAGAGTCATGATATCCACAGGCTATGATACTATCTGGACTGTCCTCATTGGACTTCCAGGTGTTAGAGGAAGGGGTGGGAAGCAGGCATGAATCTACCCCCCAATTCCCGGGTCAGGTACACGTAAACCTTTGAGAGCCAGGCTCTTTCTAAAGAATACTAAGAAAGCAGAAGGGCTCCTCAGCAAACACCATCACAGGAAGCATGAAGCCCACCCTCCCATCCTGCCCAATCTAGAAGGCTTCCCCCATCGGGCTCCACTGCTTCCTCCTGCTGTAAATCCCCTCTCCACACACCCACTGACACCAGGCCAGCCAGACACCAGAGCCCACAAATTCCCACGCCACCAGCCGCTCACACCCCCTCAGCCCTCACTTCCCACAGACACACTTGCAGGCACACGTGGCTCCACACATGTGTACTCTCTGAGCAGCTCTGTGGTGGGAACAGCCTTGCCCTGCTTTCCTCAACCGCAACCTGCTAAGCACCTCATGAGAACTGCACCTTTGTCTCTGGCTACACTGTTCCCCAACACACCATTTCTCCTGGGCCCCTCAGCAGCAAAGCAGTCCCCACCAAAAGTCAACTTCCTGTGTCCTGGAAAGCCATGAAGACTCGTCCCCATCCACCCCAACTCAGAGGGATCAGTAAGGAAAGGGAGAATCAAGATAAACATTTTCAGCCCTGCCTGCTGGTAACCACATCCTCAGATGTCCCCGACTTCGCGGTTCTAAAGATTTATCTTTCCCTGACCACACACTCATTGATACTTCCCCAAGCGCAGGTTGCCCGGTCTGCTGGAGTGTAATGTTATACTATTCTGGTGAGAAATTGAACTCAGATGGAGTGCTAGCCCAACAGGTAATGAATTCAGAGGTTCCCCCCTCTGGCCTGCAAAGAGGAAGAAGGCGAGGGCAAGAGGGACTACACTTTTGGCTGCAGTGGGCTCACCTGGTGCTCCCTCCTCTGATCGGTAACCTCTGGTCAGTAACACCAGACTCCCTGGCATTCTGTGTCAGGCAGAGCAGCTGGGCATTGTGACTTATGGAGCAGCCAAGAAAGGAAAGGACGCCAGAAGCTGAGTACAGCAACTTTGAGAGAAACATGGACAAAGAAAACGGGAGTAAAACTAAAGACTAGAGTTGAAAACCTCAGCTCCAATGGGCGGCTTGCCCTCAAAGTCCACTTCTGTTACTGACCTCTGCCTCTGCTGGACCTGTCAAAACCATCATCGGTGTACAGTGACCAAGCCAGTCCCCTGGCTAGGCTCCCTACCATCTTCAAACCCTGGGGACAGCTCAGAGAGCTCAGCTCTGCTTTGGGGAACAGAGGCCAACTCCTCCTCTTAGCATCTTCTGATCCACCCCACACGCTGCCCAGCTCCGCTGTACAGAGTCCCAGCATCCCAAGCAGATGGCAAGGGGTGGCTGGAAAGGGCCCTGGAGCCCCAAACCATAAGGCTGAGCTACAAATCAGAACACATAGGCGGAGGTGTGGAGGGTGAGCTGAGGGGACATGAGCAGAGAGACTGAAGGCTTCCTCCATAATGGAACTGTTCTACAGAGTGCTTTCCAGGCAGGAGGTGAAGTGCCAAGCGCTTCCTTCCCCCTGGGGAGGTAGAAAGGTACTGCAGGGAGCATGCGGACAGCCAGGGACACCCCTCATGTCAACCTGGGAACAGCCAAGAAAACACTCACCATGCCACGCTTTGCCTAAGTGGCAGCTATTGGGACAGGGTGAATTCCCCAGCATGGAAAAGTCATCTCACCACACCTTTTACCTATGGCTCAACACCGAAGCCTGGACATGAGGCAGAAAACTTTTTACTTCAGGGTACAAGCTTTGGCAATAAGTTATTGTCCATGCAGACACTCATAGGAATGCTTGAGAAAAAGACACCAAAACAAAGCAATTTACAGTCCCCCCTCACCTTCCCAACCTGGAAAGGGTGTTCAGCCAGAAATGGAATCACATAAGGATCGATGTCTTGGGACTTCTCACCATATTTATCCAGGTTGGAGTACCCTTTAAGGATGCTCAGTGACTCTTCCTCCTCCATGTGTCTAGAGCATCATTCACTGTCCCCCATTCCCCTGCCATACAGCCTCAGCCTCCCCCACGGGACCACCTGCCCTGAGCCCACTTGGTAGGCACCCTGACCCAGTTCATCTTCTTTAGGCCATGACCTCCACAGGGTTGACATGACTGCTCCCCACTCCCATTCTCAGAACCAAGGGAAATTCTCAAGAGAAAACACACTTTCCGAGTCTCCCTCCCACACAGGTACCCTAGATCTGTCAGCCACAGATGCCTCCCAGACCTTCCCAGATAATGAGGTGTGTCTGTGGCCCAAGCAAAGGGCTTCCTCCTGCGTAGACCACTCCTACAGAAGACCACGCTTGCCATAGCCATGTCCAGAACCACAACCGTCCTCGGGAGACCCAGGGCCTGGTTCCAGCTCAGTAGCTGACTCACAGTGTCAACAGATCCCACATCCCCCCCAAGCAGGAGCATGTATACTGGGCTTCTAATTCCCTATGACAAGCCCTTGACCTACGGCTCGCTTCCTGCCCAATCACATTCCATGACTCCATTTCCGACCACCTCCTATCTCTTGCCCTGGTCTCTTTACCAGATGAGAATCCCTGACCTTTGTCTAGCATTTCACTGCTTATAAAAGACTCCATGCTCGACATCTCCTCCCATTCTCTGGGACCACTGGGACCACTGTGTGAAGTGGCTCTTAAAGGTAACAACACCTGCTCAAGGTCAAACAGCCAAGACTGGAATTTGAATCATCTGGCTCTACATATAATGGACAATACACCAGCTTTGGGGAACTCAGCTCAGTGCCGTCAAATGAGGGAGGCTTCTCCAAGCAAAGAGAAGGTCCGTTTGCGAAGAAACACTCTCTTTACGAAAAGCTCAGCTCTTTGCTTCTACTTCTACCTAAAGCTCAGCTCTTTGCTTCTACTTCTACCTAGTCCTTCCCACCAAGAAAACTGTAACATCCTAAAGTCTTCTCCAGCTCCCCAAGACTTCTCTAGGGGGTCTGCAAACTGATGCTCTGTGAAGTAGGACGTCATGTGGCACTGAGAGAAGGAGGGAGGGAGAGAGAGAGAAAGAGACCCTCCCCAAAGCTTTTCGGAAGACTGGTGAGGACAGATGCAATCCCAAAACACTCCCACAGAATCATCTTCAACGCAACCCTCAAAGGATCCTCTGGACCTAAAAAGAGACAATTCCCAGAAACCCAGTAGCATCTCCATAAATCCAGTGAAAACGAAGGGCCCATCCCTGACCTATAGATACGGGCCATTTGTCTGCACCTTTCTGAGTCTCATACAGTCAGAAACAAAGGACCACCAGTGAGAATCACCTTTTTCTCCCATCTTCCCCAAAGTGGGAAGGATTCACGACCAGGTACAGGTTTATAATTGGGCAGAGCTCTACCTGGGACAGCAATCAAGACTCTCACGGTAGACAAATTTCATGGTGTCTCTCATTCTCATCCATCATAAAGAACACCAACCTTCTTCCAGCCTTCTGCCCCCAGGCCAGCAGACCCAATATGCATTAAAGCTGAGTTCCATAACTAAAACATTGCCCCTCCTCATCTCCCTTGTAAGAGTGGGTAATTATCAGGGTCTGAGGGCTACCAAGTCTCCCCTCACGGTGCCAGTCATTCCAGGGCACTGCGCTAAGCCAAGGCCATTTCTCACAGCTGGGCCGGAGCCACTAGTCATGCCCTGATTCTTCAAGCCCCAGGACCATCCCTCCAAACCATGTCAAGCCCAAGGCCAGAACCATTCCAACACCCAAGCAATGGCAGCACTTTCTCACACCCATTCCCATCTCACCTCCATGGCCCGGCACCAGCTGGTCACCCACCCGCACCAGCTGCGTGCATCACCCTCCTGTACAGAGGGTGCACCCTCCTCACACCTGGGCGGCCACCGCCACACCAAGGCGGGGGTGAGTCTTCTGACACCCTCGCTGGGAAAAATCACGCTGCCCGTGCTGTATCCACGTTGCCCACGCCCGTGCCACGCGTGTCACCATTCCTACGCCGGTGGCCCGGGGCTCCGCGGACCTCACACCTGCCTCGGGCGCGCGTGGCAGCCGCACCTCCGCCCGCGGACCTGTCGGACCGGCCACCGCGCGCAGTGGACATTGCCCAGCCCGCCACGCTGCTCGCAGGGCGCCCGCGCCCGGGGCTCGGCTCGGGCCCCCTTACCTCCCGCGCGCCGCAGGGCTCGGCCCGCCGCGGCCGCTGCGACCGCCACCTCCATCCTGGGCTCCCCAAGGCCCCTATTCACTAACGTTGCTTCCGCAGGGCGCCGGCGCCGGCGCGAAGGCCGCCTCCGCCCCCCGGGGGACGCTGCGTCCTTTACGTAAACCCCACTCCGCCGCCAGCGGTGACCATGGCGACGGCCGTGGGGCGGCAGCGCCCCCTAGCGCCAGGGAGGGAAGAGGCGCGCAGGCCGGAGCTGGCGGAGCCCTTGCAGGAGCCCGGCTCCCTGTGCGTGGGGGCGGTGGGCGCGGGGCTGAGGCCTCCACTGGGGCTCCGTGGGCAGACGGGAGGGATTGAACCGCTGGCGCTGCACAGGGGCATAGGGGCTGCTTAGGTTCCCCCTCCTTCAGGCCCCGCGTGACAGGGTTTAGCGTGGGAGAGGATCACTAGAGAACTGGTTCGTTTGGGGGAGAGAAAAGGAGAGAGATAGGTTCCATCTCCTTCAGGGGACCTAGCTGTGTCTTGAGGAGTTGGGACGCATCTTTATCTATGTCCTCTCCTCTTCCCGCACTCCCACCCTCCTCAACACCCAGAGTCTTGCCTGACAGTCAAAGGGGAGTTTAATCAATCTTGATTTTCTGGTAAATGAAGAAAATCGCCCCTCCTGGTCTCCTTCGCACACGCCCATTCATTCACGCGCAAGTCGCTCAACACGCCTTCCTGAAAGCTGCTTTTTAGCAGGGGCAAAGCTATACTGGTGTGCTGGGTTGCGTCTGGGGAGGGGGTGGCAGTGCAGGCCTGCCCTTAAGGATCTTGGGTCACTGAGGGAGGCCGATGCATTCACATGGGGGCTAAGCTGAGAGCTGCAGCTGCACTAGAGGGTCATGAGTAGTAATGGAGGTAGAGGTCATGATGATGCAACCAGCCAGGTCTCAAAAGTCCAGCAGAAAGACATGAGAGGTCAAAAATGAGAGTAAGAGAAAAGCCTATAAAATGTTTCCGGGGCCCAGTCATTATCCTGGGAAATCAGGACTCTTGACCCTTGTTCTGTAGGCATGGAGGCCACAGGTGGACATCTGGCTGAAAGTGAAACCCTGAATCCAGGACAGGCTTGTCTTTGTTGCTGTAGCTCTGCCCCTCCCCAGGTGGTTTGGTATCATATGTGGTTGTTTCAAAGACAAGCTCTGGCTTAGGTAAAGAAAATGGGAAGTGGGAACAGATGCCGGGCACCTCAAAGAATTCAAGAAGAGGAGCTCCTGATGTCTCAGGAAATACCGGGATCAGGGGAGGCCCTGGCGACTATTCAGGGACCTTATCTCTAGATTGTCATGATTCATTCAAACCACTCAGCCAAAGATAATATCTTTTGCTTCGAAGTTCCAGACTCCTGGAAGAAAGAACTGTATTGGTCCTGTGAACCGTGGTGGATCAGTTATTGTCAGGCAGTAGCAGCCCTCTTCCTTACTCACAGACGTTCCCAATGGAGAGAACAGGGCTATGTGGCCACCCCAAGACAGTCTACTACAGTCCACCCTTTCGCTGTCCGGCACATGAACCCACACAAGTTCCCTGCGTGCGCGCGCGCGCGCACACACACACACACACACACACACACACACACACACCATTCTTCCCATTCATGAAGCCCTCACCAAACCGTTTCTGACCGTCTATAATGTGGGAGGTGATATTACTAGGTATCCTCAAGGTGATGTCCTATTCTTGGTCAGCTGCTTCAGCGATTCCCATGTAGGGCATTCCACAACAGGATTAAAGGGTCCATTCTCGGCTGCTAACACAGCCTTTGGACTGCTGTGTAGGTGACATGGACACTCCACAGGGAAGCTTGCTAGAAATTCTGAACCTCAGACCCAAGATCTTTGCCTGATTACAAAAGCCTCAAGGGATCTGTATGTATGGGAAAGTTTGGGAAACTGTCATTGTGAAACTGGGGGAAAGTGGAAAGGCAAAGGTAAGGGGAAAAGAATGTTTTTAATTCTGATCATTAAATTGTGATCATAAAAAGACAGGCTCCAGGAAATGTTTCGTATGCTCAACATACATGAGATCTTGGATGCAATCGCCAACCCCAAAGCAGACAAAAGATGTTGGTTAGTTATTTAGGATTTAAACACGTGAGTGAGAAACAAGGAAACATGGGTAGAAGCTGCAGGCATTATTTTTGCAACTGTTTTTGAACACCTGGAAGGAATTTACGACTTCCTTCCTCTAACTCCTTATCCTTCCTTGCCTCCTGTCCATGTCTCATTTGGCTGGTAGGCTGACCTAAGTCTTTCTCCTTGAGGCCTTCAGTGGTCATCCACAGGATCTCTGGAGTTCCCTTCTGTGTGTGTGTGTGTGTGTGTGTGTGTGTGTGTGTGTGTTGTGTGTGCCAGAAGTTGATGCTGAATGTCCTCCTCTCTCACTGGGCTGGGAACTCTCTAACTTACTGATTGGCTAGACTGGGATCCTCTTGTCTTCTCTCTTCCTGACACTGGTATTACAGGTTGTGTCCAGCATTTTTGTTGTTGTTGTTGTTTGTTTGTTTGTTTTGTTGTTGTTGTTGTTTTTCTTTCCAGAAAGGGTCTCTCTATTTAGTCCTGGCTTCCCTGGAACTCACTTTGCAGACCAAGTTGGCATCGAAGTCACAGAGATCCACCTGCCTCTGTTCCCAAGCACATGGGGAAGGAGACATGTGCCACCATACCAGGCTTGTGTCCTGCTTTTTACATGAGTACTAGGGATCTAAAATCCCTGCTAAGCAAGCACTTTGCCAAATGAGCCATCCCCCCCCAGCATTTTTTTTTGGGGGGGGGAACCTTGGCAAAGAGCAGTGATGTAGGGTGGCTGGCTATGAACCCATACTCTCTGGGACCTGTCCCTGTGTGACTCCCTTACCATGCTTGGCTTTTCCTTATAGTACCTTCTGGTCTGGCTCAGCCAGGTGTCACAGGAGATAGTCAACAAGGCTTGACTAGTCATCTTGAGTGGGACAAGATGAAGAAGATGAAATGAGGACACCAGAACCAACGACAAGCTGTAGACTGGTCCTGGTCCAGCTGTCTAGCTGTGCTCTCTGAGGTCTGTGCCAAATCCTCATTCTGGCCTCAGTTTCCCTCCAGGTTGCAGTGGGGATAATAACATGGCTCCTCCTCCCAGGGGGGCTGTGTGGATTAAGTAATTAACGAGTGTGGCGTAGCCTGTTTCCACAAAGGGGCTGATTAAATGCTGGGTGTTGTTATTAGACGCGATGGAGGGTGTGTGACAGGCTGGAGACAGATCTGCTCCCCTTCCTGTCCTCCCCACCCCCTTCCTCCGTCTGCTCCACTTTCTGCAAGTTCAACATCTTACAAGACAAAACCAAGATGGTGTTTTTTGGCTCACACACACCCCTCCCCCAAAGACGGCGTCTAACTTTTGCACATTTTCCCTGTGCTGGAATATGACTCAAGGCTGAGTTTCATAGTATAATTTGTCTCCAACAGCTGGCACCACTGTACCCTGCCCCAGACTCTCACAGCAGCTGTAGACAGGGGTGGTTCAGCCAGTGACTGCAAAATTCCTAAGCTGAACACCACCCCTGGTTTTTCTTTCTTTTCTAACTGTATTGCCCCTTGGAGGCCTGGACTGGATGATCTCACACACTACCTCCTCCTCCCGCCACACACACACACACACACACACACAGAGAGAGAGAGAGAGAGAGAGAGAGAGAGAGAGAGAAAGCCTAAGGGAGAAAGAGTCACTAAGAGACTCCTGACTTTTGCAAAGGGTTGGGAGAATTCAAAACACCCAGGGTTTAAAAGTATAAAGAGTCTGTTCATGGCCGGGGGCTGGGGAAATACTATGACTCCTTTACTCGTGTGTAAGATATTGAATTACTGCATGAAATCACAGGTCTGGGGCACGGTGACTTTGTGGTACCCATCCCTTGATCTCCATAGCTGGTGTGAGAATTTTGACCACCCCCAAGAGCCAGGGCTTCCACCCCCTGAGTATTACAAAGCCTCAGCTCCCCTTGTATCCTGGCACCTCGGGTGGGGGTAGGCTGGGAAGGAATTGCTCGGTTACCACCAGGTAAATAAGTCTGTTGCTGGCATCCCAAGAGGGGAATGTTGTTTATCCAAATAGCACAAACTCAGCCAGCCTGGGGAGGCGAGAGCAAAGCTCTGGAGGCTGAGCTGTCAGACTCCCACAGGGAGAGAGATTAGCCAGTTGCAAAGTCTAGGAAATGCATGTGAATTGGACTTTGGGGCACCTGGAGGCAGCGTCATGTCTGGATCATCTCAGGCATCCCCACTTAGGAGTTCAGACCTTTCTGCCTCCGCAAACAGTTGCTGTATCTGCACTACCAAACCTTTGCCCTCCCTGTCTTCCCTTGACCTGCTGCTATGAAGTAACAGGAATAGATCATAGGGGCTAACTGGCTAGAAGTGGGATGCGGGCCACGTGGCTTAGCTGGCATCCAAAGGACTGGAAGATTAGCCATCACCGAAGGGTGCTTGGGGTCCTAAGGGGGTGAAAGTTCTTCCCTCCTACCAGGAAGGAGCTGCAAGCCCACATCTTTGGCCTAAATGAACTTAGTTTACTAATAACAGCTCAAGAGCTGTATGAGAGTATCTCAGCGAGGATGGCAATGGTTAACGTACTGGAGGAGACCAACATGATGGGATTTTGCTATTGGAAATGATAGAGGGGACCAAGCAACCTCATGCTTCCCAGGGGATGGTTTAGGAAGTTTCTCTACCATAGCCTCACCCCTGTTCACTCGGGCATCACCAGAACCTTCTTACAAATGCCCAGAGGATTGGGAGATCCTCTCATCTCATTAAGACAGCCCATTTGTAAGTGTCTGCTCCTTGGTGGGCATTGTAGTAACTAGTTTTTCTCCTTGGGGCACTGGGGAATGATGGAAGTGTAAACACAGATGTCTCAGGGGAAAGTCAGTGTATTCACTGACTGCTATGATTCATCTGTACTCTCTGGACACCAAAAGCCAGAGTAGAGAGTCTGGTTACTGGAGGGTACCCTTCTATCTATCTGTTCACTCACTCCTAATCCCACTCA